GTCTATAGCGCGGATAACCATTGTGAACAGCTACTGTGTTGGCATTAAAATCTTTAGGATATTTTTTGCTGCACACCCCATCTTTCATGCAGGGAGAATTTGGATTCAGTATCCTACATGGGCCGTTAATCATGCAAGTTTTGATAATATCATAAAGTTCACAATTGACTATCGGATCTGGATTTTCTGCACAAATCAAATTATCGATATCCTGTGATGTTTCAAGTTTATCATCATTTGCTAAATGAAGTAAAATGTGGGCATGCGGCAAACCACGCTTTTGAAACTCAATAACCTGAACATGCGTTACAACTTTGCCTAATACACCATGTTTGAATATATCATTGAGGAGGTTATTTAACTTGAGTTTAAATACTCGAGTAACCAAATCAGGTCTATCATTCGCATTCTGACCCGGATATAAATTTTCTGTTATTTCACGCCATTTTGGGTTGCAAGTAAAAGTTATAAAAAGATCTGATTTACCATACTTTTTAATAATTGCCATAGCATCTTCAAAGTTTTCTTTTAAAGCTCTAGGACTTCCTACATAAGATGATGGCAAAACTACTACTCGTCCTGATCTAATATTACGATCATTGACAATGTTGTTAATATGTTCATGTTAGGCATTGTACTGCTCGCTTCTCAGCTTCTTTTGATTATTTCTGATAAAAGCAAGACGCTGGCCTTCAATTTTTACATATGCATCTACAGCATACTGCTGAAATAGTTTCTTGCCATAAAATAATGAACAGAAAAATTGCCTAACAGAAAGTCTATAATTGTAGAACTGAGATAATGTAACATGATTTCTAACCAGTGTGGCACGCTCAGGGTTATGCACCAATTGATTATGCCAACCAGCATCACCTCTTGGAAAAAATAGCGGATAAACCATAGGATCCAAGTTGGCTGACATACTTGATACAATTTTTAAAGAATGACCTCTTGGGTAAATAACAACTTCCCTGGAAGTTGGGGGAGCACCATCTTCGCCAACAAATACAACTTCATCATGTGAAGGTAGATTATAACGACGTCTATCACCGCCTTCAAGTAAAGACATTTTTACAACAGAAGCAGAGCGACCTTCTATAGCCGCCTTACGAATTTCTTCATCTTCTACTTCAGCCATGTTTTTAAATGCAAGAGCAAATGGACTTTGTTCCATAATTATAGTTTGCAATTGAAACATTAAATCACGTAAACAAAGATCATTAGCATAGTGTTGCATTCTAAAATTTAGTGCAGCAAGTGGATCATAAATATATAGTTGAGAATATATTGGTGGAATATCTTGATCTGGCCTAAGATTACTACACGATGAAAAATCTGGCCACATATTTTAAAACATGGAAGCCCATGATTCATTGGTTGAACTACATTTGCTGTAAAAGAAGCAAAAAAAAGGCAGGCATTATAATTTCGAATATGTTTTAAAAAATTAGCATTAGCATTACAATCTACATAACTCCCTGTAAACAAATCCTGTAAAGCTTGTGTAATTGGTGAAAGTGGAGGCAAAGCTACGTTACCATTATGGCAACATAGAAAATGTGTTTCATCTGGAAATTTCTTAGCACCACAGTGCTGACAAATTTGATTCATTCATCTGGAATAGCATTACTTCTCGCTATAGAATACATTCGTCCTTGTCCAACAGCTCTTCTTTCATTTTAACGACGATTAAGATTATCTCGATTGAGCCTATTTCTTTCATTTTGGCAACGATTAACATTATCTCGATCGAGCCTATTTCTTTCATTTTGTAAACAATTAATTTCATCTCGCCTAAGTCTTTTTCTTTCATTTTGTAAACAATTAATTTCATCTTGCCTAAGTCTATTTCTTTCATTTCGTCTATGATTATTTTCAACACGCCTTATAGCACTTACATCATCTTGTAAATACAAAACTACATCTAGCCTATCATCCATTTCAATGTCATCATTTTCATTAAACATATTTATCAAAGCAGCACTAATTATTTCTTTTTTTTTTACTAATCTAAAGTTAACAATAAAATAAAAAAACTTAATAATTAAAAAAATCATACTCGAAAAATTAAAAAAAACAATTTCAAAACAAATATATATAAAGAAACCAAACAAATGCAAAATAAAATAAATTTGCTCTCATCAAAAGTAATACAGGTTTCTTAAGTTTATTTGATAGAAGTTAAGAAAAACCTGCAACCACATCAGCAAAAACTTATTAAAACTTATTTTATTTTTAATAAAAAAAAAAAAAAAATTGCGACAGCGTCATAGTTCATGCGTTGGGAGAAAACATTGAACAAAACACGTAATAAAACTTATTAATGCATTATTAATGCATTATGTACGATAGAAAACAGGTTATTAACGCGGGTTTATTTTTTCTCCTAACACACTATTATGCTGTCACAACTCCAAGGATATATATAGTTATATATAGTTATATATAGTTATATATATATATATATATATATATATATATATATATATATATATATATATATATATATATATATATATATATATATATATATATATATATATATATATATATATATATATATATATATATATATATATATATATATATAAATATATATATATATATATATATATATATATATATATATATATATATATATATATATATATATATATATATATATATATATATATATATATATATATATATATATATATATATATATATATATATATATATATATATATATATATATATATATATACAGAACTATTTATTAGTGAAAACATATGAAAACCAAAATTTTTTTTACAATATATATAGTATATATTTGATAAATAAACCTCTACAATTTCTTTGGTTCAACAACTCGATAATGATTAATAACAACTCTGTAAACATGAATTTTCTAATAATTTAAATCTTAATAAATTATAACAAATAACTACTTATTTAAACAAATAATTACTTATTAAATTTTAAAAGATTTTATATATACGTAATGTCTACTTAGAAATACTTAATGTCTATTTATACATTAAAAAGATCTACAATTTTGAAAACCTGAAACTTTAAATCTACCTCAAAAAAAACAGATATATATTGAAAAGTATTTTTATTTCTTTTTAAAAATTTAAAAATGCTTTTTAACTTACTCCCTCCAATATTATTATATAATTTATAGTATATATTGATAAATAAACCTCTTCAATTTTCTTGGTTTAACAACTTTTTTAAACTTGGTTTAAAAAAATTTCTAATAAATACATATTTAGATACCTTAAAATGAAGCATAACACAACACTCTTTTGACAAATTCCAGAAGAAATTTTCTTAATTTTTTTATTCCTTATTATTTTTCCTTAGAGAATATATATATGTAGATATAGAGAAATATAAAACAGACTGAAATAAATCGAAAACCTTAATTTATGGATGAGAAAATAACTTGAACTTACTAAAAAAGCGATCAGCTTCTCTAAAACTGCTCTAAAAAATAAATCAAATACAGCTTAAAATGTTTGTTGTACTAAAAAAACTATTTTACCAGTCAATTTAGTTCTAACTTAATCTAAAAAATGAAAAATAAATACATATTTAGATACCTTAAAATGAAGAATAACACAACACCCTTTTGACAAATTCCAGAAGAATTTTTTTTTATTTTTCTATTCTCAATTATTTTTGCTAAGAGAAAATACATATAGATATACTTATATATATACATAGCAAACTAACAATTATTTAAATTTTTATTTTAAAAAACAAACAACATTAATTCTTCTTGAAAATAAATGTATCAGCTCCAATTTGATTGCTGATTTTACTCGAATGACCGCATGGAATATATAACTGCGCTTAGAAAATTCTAGAGGCAAAGAAATAGTATATTTTACATAATGCAGAACCGTAATTAACAAAACGAACAATAGGCGTAACAATGCGTAACTATGCGCACTATTAATATTCATAGGCTATTCTTTATAGGCGGATGTATTGCTCATATATATCAATTGATTATCTAAAAACGGATCCTCTAAAAATGGGTCAAACTGAGCAAAGTGACTTTTTTTTACAAAATCAACATTCCGCACGAATAAATTTGCGCATAGTTATGTATAGTTTGCAAGTGGACTTTGATCGCTTTATAAATGATACTTTCTTCTGCAAACCATACAAATTTATAATTTTTATTGGATAAATTTCCAATGGTAATATTCTCGTTTAAAAAAAATATGCAGATGTATATATGTCGGCAGAAAATCAAATTAATGGAAACTTTGCCTCAAAAAACTTGGATATATAAAAAGTAAAAAGAGTGATCCTTTCTACTTTTTATCTAATAAAAATGTAATATAAAACTTGCTAAACTATTTCCTACTCTTACTTTTTTTATAATATGATCCTAATATTTTGCCATTATAGTTTATTCATTTAACATTCTAAACAAAAAAATAATAGTTAAATTTCAAAAAGTAAAAAGTTTTAACTTGCTTAGTAGATCTTGCACAAAAGACCGCGTGCATTTTGAGAACGTACTTTTCAAGTTCAGAAAAGTCTAGTAAATAATAAAAATTACTTTAAAAACGAAAGTAAAACGACACTACTACTACTATTAAATTACAGTATTAATATTAAAATGATGATTATAGTTATAAACTGGTTTCCATAATTATGGATTTAAAAGTAAAACAAGTAATGCGCTCAGCCGTCCATCATCAATGTATATTTTAAAATGGTTTAGAATTTTTTTTTATTTTACTTAAAAAAAATAGTTTTTAATGTATAGTAAATTTTAGTAGTAGATAAAAAAAAGTTACTTTTTTATGTATTATTATTTATTATTTGGTTTTCAAAGCACAATGACTGATATACAAGTAACACATTTAAATATATTACTTGAATATTAATCAATAATAGTATTTATTTTAGTTAAATACTGCTCATTATTATATGTTTTATTAAATTGTAATTGTAGAGTTAATAAATTTACATATACTGGTGTATATTATTTTTAGAAAACGAATCCTATCCGGTTATTCTTACTCCTAAAGGTTTATTGATATTTTTTTTTTTTTTTTTGATTTACAATGTTTTTGTAAACGTTATTGAGTTTTGAAATTTATTTCAAAAAAATAAATATATATGTGTACAAACATAAAACCTAAAAAAAGCAGATCAACAACCTTATGTTATACTAAACTAGGAAGTTGTGAAAGTTTTATGACATACATTGACCTATCTAAGAAGAAAAAGAAAAATATGTGCTAATACACTAACTTTTAATTTGGACAAACGTATTGGTTGTGTGTCATTGGATGGTTTTTTATTATCTAGTTACATATAAATCTTTTAAATGAGTTTTTTAATTGAAAGTTAAAAAAATCAGAAGGAGTTTTTATATTTGAAAGTTAAACTTTATCCTAAGTAAGCTAAATTAGAAAAAAACTAGCATTCCCAGCTTGCACATTTACATTGGGCTAACGTATGTAAAACCATCGCGAATATCGGCTCTTTTTTCCAATGCAAAACCAACGTTGATCCAATGTCATTTGGGTAATGTTAAAATTGTTACCGATGGAACTAAAAACATCTGGCAAATTTACATTGGTCCAATATATGTAAAAAGATCGCAAAAAAGTTGATTGTTTTTACGATCTAAACCGAATGTTGATCCAATGTATATATTTCGACGTTGATTCAATGTATATAAATCAAAGTTTTTCCAATGTATGTAAAAACATCACAAAAAGTTGATTGTTTTTATGATCTAAACCCAACGTTGCTCCAATATATCTATTTTAACGTTAATTCAATTTATATAAATTAACGTTGGTATGTATGTAAATACATTGCAAAAAATTGATTGTTTTTATGAACTAAACCCAACGTTGATCCAATGTATGCGACCAAACATTGCTACTGGAAGTTATACAACTTAAATAAAATCTTCCGTGATTAATAAAGTATCAAACCACAATCAACACAAGCATTAAATTAGGTATGATGATCAACCGTTGACAACTTTATAAATATATGTAGTAAGAAAATTTAACTTTTGTAACAAAAAAACTTTATAATTATATTCCGTCTTTACCTTTTTTTCTAAATCTATAATGATAGAGATAGACTAATGGTTAGCAATTAGACATTGAATGGGCGACGTAGGTAATGATACTTTGTTTTTAGCTGTTAAACAAAAGTTATTGAAAATAATTCTTTACAATAAACATGTAACTTTTTAAATATATTATCAGTTCCGTATAAATATCTTTAAAAAAAAAAAAATTTTATGATTATAATTTATTTGATGCAATTTATGATGCAAATCTATCATTTTAATACATATTATATTTTAATGATACATTAGTTTTATTTTTAAAAAATCCCATGTTTTTGTAGCAGCATTTAAAATCACTCAAATAATTTATTAAAAGATCTTTCAAATTAATGTTTAAAAAAAATTGTTCAGTTTCTTATTTAAAATACATTAAGTTTTTTTTTTCTTCTAAATAGAAAGCAAATAACGATCTGGTGTGCGCTATTGATTTTTCCAAAGTTAATTTTTAAACCAACATCATCAAAATATTTAATTATTAATTTTTTTTTTTTTACATCTATAAGAGTGCAGTCGTGAGAAGAAGGAAAACGATAAAGAACAAAGAGAAAAGTGTTAGAGTGAAGAGATGGTAAGCTGAGGCACATATAAAAATAGTCATAGAATTTGAACGTGATTTTAAAACAAATAGGTTAACTGAGGCATCTGTATTAACCCAAGCCAAGCATGTGACAATTGGTTTTTTCGTGAATCAAAAGATAGTACCTATCAACACTGAGATCTTAAGAAGGAATAGCAAAATTAGAAATAGTCTCAGTTATAGCAAACAAGTATGGTGAATTTTGAAAGGGGTAAGATTCACCTAAAAAAAGTTTATTTTGCAGATCATTAGAATTTGGGAAAAATATACTAAAATAGTTAGGTGTTGGGAATGGTTTTTTATGTTTAATATTTTATTTAATTTTTTGGCATAAGTTTAAAGAGAACTTGATTTATTCACAGAAAAAGCATGACCTACATAGCAATAAGCTATGCAATTATCTCTAATTATTTCTATATTCTATCATAGTGCTCAGTATATGGTCTCAACTAGAGGTAGAAAAAGTAACAAATATTTGTACTTAAATAAAAGTACTGTTACTTGAGTGAAATTTCACCCAAACACAAGTAAAATTTACTAATAGAAAAGTTTACTAAATCAAGTAAAAAGTAGATAATTAAATATGTACTCAGAGTAAAACTTACTACGTTACTTTTTTAACATCCTGTCAGATATCAAAGCTGTTGAATAAAAAAACAAAAATAACGTAGTCTATTCTTTTCTGTATAAATTTCAAGCTATAAACTTTTTGTTAAGTTTGAGAAGCAGTTGGTTTTCAAAGTTAGTCGATTTTATTTTTGCTCGCCTTGCAGTGAATAAGAGTCCAGCATCGCTGAATAGACTCTCACAGGGTGCAGATGCAGGAAGACAAGTGCTCATTTTATAAAAAAGGATTGGCGCGTTTTATATGAAAGATTGGTCTTTTTATAAGAATGGAAAGATTGGAAAGATTTTATAAGATTTGAAAGATTGGAAAGATTAATCATTTTATAAGAAAGGATTTATGCGTGGAAATGAGTTGCACAAATCCAATTTGTTTGAGTTGCTATAAGGTACCCATCAAGCTCCCCTGTAACTTGCGATCTTCCTGATTTCATTGATGATAGGAAATCTTCTTTATCTGAAGAATGTTGCCTAACCTGCTCTACGGCTATCTGGTCAATGTGTTGTCTCACATAGATCATACCTATTTAAAAACAAAACAGTACACATTATATTTTTAGCAATACAAAAAATCATTTTTCTGTATTTATACAACACTCAGATTTCAACAAATTTCAAAAAAAGATTTAAATCAACAAAACAGATTTCACTATAACATAAAAAATGATCCTATCAGTCCTATCATTCCAGGTGATGTGAAGTAGTAAAAAAGTAGACAAAACAGATTTCAAAATAATTGTCTACTTTTTTACTACTTAATTATCACCTGATGATTAAGTAGTTAAAAAGTAGACAAAACAGATTTTACTATATCATTCAAGTGGCCATTAAACGTTTACTAAACGTTAGCAAAACACACTTGTACCCACTGGGAAAAGTCGTTATAAGCGCTTTATAATTTTTTTTTTAACAATTTAAAAGGATCATCTTTAATAGAGTGAGCAAAACTCAAAAAAAAAAGAAACTATATATATTTATAACTATTATAATAATTATTATTATAACTATTATAATAACTATTATTATAAATAATGATTTCAGTGTGCGTTTAATAATACAGCTTAAACAGTTTTAAAATATGTCATTATACAATATTCATTTACTCAGTTTATGGGTGTTATTTCTACCATCTTGCTAAAATAAGGCATAATTATATAAATAACTATAATATTATAACTAATTAAAAATAATAACTTCTTGTTTTCATGATTTTTTTAATGCATATACATTACTATGTTTACAATTTGTACGTAGTTTAACGTACATTATATAAACATAGTAAAACTTCGATTTAAATTTTCTTTTAAAAATCTAAAAGTAACGATTTAAGAACGATTATAAATTCAAAACGAAAGCAGTGTACGTGTTTGATGTCTTCATAACATCATTAAAAGTAAAAATAAAAACAATGTGGAAAAAAAGTTATAAAACAAGCGCTATTTTTTATCAAAAAAAAAAAAATTAAATCATAGTATTTAAGATATTAAAACATACATAATGAATATTTTTACTCAGTAACGCATTCAATTCAAATTTAGCAAAGAAAAATTTAAAAGAAAAAAATTACTTAATAAGAGTAAACATTTAAAAAATACTTAAAAAATAAAAAATCACAAAACAACTACTCAATTAATGTAACGTGAATAGATGTAATTCGTTACATCTACATCTGGTCATAATAATGCACCCTAAAAGCATTAGTAGGGATGAGGATCCTGTTTTAACTATAAAATTAATTAGGTTTTCTCAAAACAGTTACTTCTTCTATACATGCACAGTGTTCAGTATAGTTAAATTGAGTTAAAAACAGATAAAAAAAAAATTATTTTATTTAAATTTTATATGTATATATATATATATATATGTATATATATATATATATTATATATATATATATATATATATATATATATATATATATATATATATATATATATATATATATATATATATATATATATATATATATTTATATATATGTATATATATAAATATATATATATATATATATATATATATATATATATATATATATATATATATATATATATATATATATATACATATATATATGTATATATATATATATATATATATATATATATACATATATATATATATATATATATATATATATATATATATATATATATATATATATTATATAATATATATATATATATATGTATATTTATATATATATATTTCTAATCCAGATTATTTTTTATCTCTTTTTTTTTATGTTTTGTTTTTTACTATTGGATATAGGTATGAATTTTAGTAACATTTGGACTCGCAATGGGCATCAATGGAGTATCTCGCCGTTTAGAAAAGAACTAGGTAAAAAGATAGACAATAACCAAACACCATTAGGTATGTTGCTAATAGAATAAATTTTATTTTTATTGTTTATGATAATGTTATCCAGAACTTTTAACTGCAGTGGGACAGAAAAAAGAAATATTTATGCCTCGCTCCATCCCGTCGGCGATAGATTACTTCGACTTGTAAAAAATAAAATTATTATTTTAAAAAATATCTAAAAATATTAAAAAGCCACGTTAAAAAATATCTGCACAGAGATGTACATTTTGTGTCTTGATTTATATGTAGTTTTTTCTTAATATAATTATGAAGTTAGTAACTTTTTTGATGAAAAACATTTTTCGATATTAATAATTTTATTAAAAAAATAACCAATTTTTTAGTTTAAAATATGAAACAAGAAAAAATAAAGGGAATGCAATCATATCTTGAAGATTAGAAAACGGTAATCACTTTGTGGCGGTGTGTGTGACAATTACTGTCTTTTTCTAGGTTATTCATCTCACTGTGTAGGAGAAAGCGTTGTTCTCGTCCTTTTCTACTTTTTTTAACACTTCTAGACATCAATAATAATTAAAATTGTACAAATATAGCTCATAATTAAATAATTTTACTTTCATTTTTCAAGATGTCTCAATAACGGCATTTCGCAAACTGTCATATAAAACATTGCTTATAAGTGGAGTTGGTACTAGTAGGTGAATTTGAATGTTAAGTTACAAAAATAATACTACATACGTATAAACACAATGTAAATGAAAGAGGAATGTCGTGGAATTCGCAACTCGTCTCTTTTTTTAAAGAAACCCTTCCGGCATTTGTTTTTGAAAGTTACGTTCTAAATGTCTTTTGAACGTTTTTTAAACGTCTTTTAAGCGTTCTTTACCTAAGAATATTTAGAAGACATTTAAAAGATATTTAAAATATATTTAGAACGTAACTTTAAAAAACAAATGCCTGCGGGGAAATTTTACAACTTTATAAAACATTTTTCTGTATTAAGTTAATTAAAAAAAACTATTATAATTAATAACTAAATAAAATGATTTTTGTTTTTTAAATACTACATACCTCGTTAAACAAATTCCATATTGAAAATATTTGTTTCAAGTGCATACAACAAAAAAATTTATCTTTAGTTAGTTAGTTTATTTTGTCGTTTTACACATTTTACAATGTTATCTTTAAATTCGAATAAATATATATATAATTACAAGCTGACAGGGGCAAGTAGAAGACATAAAGTCTTATCATCAAGCCCTTTTGTGAAATAGAGAAATATAAAATTTCTAAAATTCCAATAGTATAAAAAAGAGTTAAATTAAAAATTTTGAAAAAATAAACAAACATTCAAACAAAATTAAAATAAAAATAAAAAAATTTAAAGAGTTTGAAATAAAGTAAAAAGATTGAAAAAAATTAAAAAGTTAAAATAAATTAAAAATTAAAAAAAGTAAAAATTAGAAAGAAAAAAAAAAAAATAATAATAATAATAATAAAATCTCGAAATAAAAAAATAAAAATGTACACAATGCGTAAATTAAAAAGTTTGAAATTTTTTTTTACAAATCAGTACATATACGTATACATATTCAATACAAAGCGAAGTATATATTCAAAAATATTTATATATTAAAAAGATTCCAAACGTTATGTAGATTTAAATTCATTTGTTAGTATTTATTAAAAAAAGTTAAAAAAAAAAAAACAGTCAAAGAGAAAATCAAACAAGAAAGATATATATGTATATATATATAAAAAAAAAAAAAAAAAAAAAAAGCTTTTTATCAAATTTATCAAAAAAATATTATTTTTAAAAAAATGAAAGAATGTATGTAATGTTTGAGTTTAGTAAGTGTTTTTTTTATAGTTCTTTTGAATATATCAATAGATTTTATTTTTTTCATATTTTCGTCAAGAACTGACTTCCACAAGCGTGGCCCCCGACATGTAATTGAGAAGTCAGATTTTTTGAGTGATGTTGGTGGGATGTAGTAATTATTTATTGAGTGTCTTGTTTCATATTTATGGTTAATTAGAGAGAAACCTTTATAAAAATATTTTGGAATTAGTTCATTTTGAAGTTTAAACATAAATAACAAGTTATGGTATATATTTAGTTCGTATACGTTTAGCGCATTAATTTCCTTGAGTAACGGCTTGGCACTTTCGTACCTATCTGCGCCCAAAACTAATCGACTTGCTTGCTTTTGTTTAGTATAAATATTTTTTAGGAAAGATGAATGATTGTTTGCCCAGGCAATATTACAATAGTTAATATGACTATGTATAAATGAAAAGTATAAGTTTTTTAAACATATTTTATTCAAAAGATGTTTTGTCCTGTACATAATCCCCACAGTCTTTGAAACTTTGAAACTTTAAAGATAGGATAACTTTTTAGCTTTAACGGTTGCCAGCTCGATAGACAAAGGACTGCCGAGTTTGATCTGCAATATAGCGCACGAAATGAACAACTGATCTTCTGCACAGCCGACATTAAGTAGTTCCCACATCACTGAAGCCAACCTGATAATCCAAAAATACTGTATCGAAACTTTTTTTTTTTCTTTATTGACCAGCCTTTTTAAAATCTGACCCATTGTGCGTCAGTCCGTGTGTAAAGTCATTGAAGGTCCATTTTAAATTTGCCCACTTTAGCATTTTTATTAATTGTGATTTTTATCAAAGAATTCTGAGCTTATATAATCATTAAAATAACTTTCTGAGCTATAAGATATATGAATATCTTTTTTTTTTGAGGATTTTCTTTTTAATTTTGTTTTTTGCAAATTTTTAAAACTAATATTAAAATTGCCAAGACAACCTGTGCTTATTTTCGAATGCATTTCAAATACAAAAAAAAACTATACATCTTCTCTTTCGCTTTAAGACAACTTGTTTTATAGAACCT